AGGTATTCCCAGTTCAGTATACCAATTCCTGAGGTTTTGATGGCTGTTCTTGATTGCAATCGCTTTTGGACAACCCTGGCAAGCTAATGGAACAAGTTTCGTGCCTTGAATCCACCTAAAAAGTGTTTTTCAGATTTGAGTTTTTAGAGAAAAAATTCAAGTTTGATAATGTCTTTCTGGAGCAGCTGTGCGTGTATTCTCATTAGGGTTGTGATCAGGCATTTGTATTGAGTGAATTAGGTCAAGAAAAGTAGAACAAATCCAATGCAATGATGGTTTTTGGAAATTTGATTTTAAGGATCTTTTTCATATCTTTTTCCATGCAATTTTGTGTCAATTAGGATCCAATCAAACCAAATCTTCCCATATTTGAATGTGCACGAATTATTGAGTCTAAAACATGTGCAAAAAGATTTATTAGGTTAAGTTAAGTATTTTTCACATATTTAATTGATTTAAATGAATTAATATAAATAAAAATTCAAATAAATAAATAAAAAATGAGAAAATACTTCCCTTTGGGCCAAGTGGTCGTGAACATGCTTAGAATGATGAATTGTGGAAGAAAAATGGGCCCATTAGCAATTTTAGGTCATTTGAAGTAATGTTGACTTTTCAAAATACCCAAAAATTTCCCAACTTCCACAAGGCACAACTTGCTCAATTTTTAAGCTTTTCTCATGTTCTTTGACATTTTGGAAGGGTCTTTGAGTCCTCTAACCAATGTCTTTGGTCCCATGTCATTTTGATTTATCAATCTCAAGTTATGGCCTTTGACTTAAAGTCCCTTTTTGTTGACTTTTGAAAATGACCTATAATGTTGAAATTGATAACTTTTTGTGAGAGCATTTCTTGGACTTGAAGTATGAAGATGAGTTGTAGGAAATGTCTTTCTATTCAAAATGAGCTTTGGATGGAATTTTTCTGATAATCCATGTGAAAGTTATGCCTTGGTCAATTTCAGTTGACTTTTTCAGCTGTCCAAATAAGGAAACTTTTGCATCTTGATGAATTCTGAGCCAAATTTTGAGAATCATGATCAAGCATTGATCAAATGATGTTTGTGGCTTCAAAATGATATGTTGACCAAAAATTTGAACTTCTGACTGTCAAATGACCATTTTGCCCCTACAGTTGACTGTAGTGCAATTAGGGTTTTTGACTGTGCAATTTTGAGCTGAAAGCCTTGAAACTTGATATGAGGATGCTTGACCATGTTTGTAGGCATATGAGACTTGATTGGACCTTTGGAAACTTCATTCTCTTGATCAGAACACAAACCCTAATTTTGACTGTATAGGAGATCTTTGACTGTGCAACCCTTGGGGAACTTTGAAACTTGACTTGGCATTTTCTTGAAGAATATGGGAGGGCAAATTTTGGGGTACAACACCTTGGTTTTAGTCGCAACACTTACCTTTTACTGGAAACACGTTTTGACCATGAAATTTCAAATCCCTTTTCAAAACTTTCCTTCCAAATTGCTTGAGCTACAGTTTATATAAATTTGGCGCGAGGGTGTGGTTGTCTTCGTCTTGAAGAGACGAAGCGAATGGCATAAGTCTGAGCTTCTGATTTTACAGTTTGAGAGACCTGCAATTCGTGATGGCTGGAGGTTGAAGATGACCAACGTGTCATCTTCCAACCAATGAAGGCGCACCATCTGTATTTTCTAAATCCTGATTTAATTAATGATTATGTACAATATTCACTAATGACTATGATATGCACAGTGCGCCAGATCCCTTGGATTTGATTATTAACGCGTTTTGACTCTCATTCAATGGTCCACATATTTTACTTTTATTTTATTTTTCTGATTTTTATATTTTAATTGTTTTAAATTTCAAAAAATCATAGAAAATTTATTTTTAGTCCAAAAAATCTGAAACAAATATGAAAAATATTCTTGGTTATTCTATTTCTGATTTTTATTTTTTCACGATTTAATTTTTTGTTTTGGTATTTTTTTATAAATTTTACACTTATTTGATTTGTTTTAAATGTTTAAAAATACTTTTATACATTTTAAAATTCTGAAAAAATTATGGAATGATCCAATGATATTGTGATAAATATTGGTGACCTTATTTTATTTTTGTTTCTGACTTTACTATTTTTTACCATTTTTTGTTTATTTTACCCATTTATTTTAATTTTAAAAATAGTTTCTGACTTTAAAAAATTATCAAAAAATTTGTAAAATTATTTGAGCCTTTTTCTGATTTTTCTATGGTCTTACTTTTTATTTCTTGATTAATTTGAACATAGTTGATATTTTTATCTTTATTTTCTATTTTTAATCATTATTTTTAAACTCTTTTATGTATATTAAAATGTGATATCATTTTGTGACTACTTTCTGGTTGATCTTGGGTTAGTTTTTGGATCATGAACTTTATTAACATCATTTGATCCATGGTTTTGAGTTTAACTCCACAAAAATGGATGAATGATTTTAATAATAGTTTGATTAAAATATTCAAATATGGTTTGTATATTTTTTTCCATCCCTCTTCATCTCATCCCCTTCTTATTGCGCTAGATGTTATTGGAGCATGATCTCTATATAATGTCTCAAAATAAATGGTGCATATATTGCTATTGACCGGCCTTAAAATAGGTGTGACTTCTATATAAGTCCACTTACGATTGCTTAACATAGCGCTAAATTTTGTCCAGATTCGAATAAATGATCATTCGTGGCCCAAACTTATGATTGCAAGCCCAAGTATGTTAATTTGATCTCTTTGATCCAATAACCTTGAGATTCATTGTGTGGAGGCTTTGGTTCTACCAGTCCTCTAATGAATCTACAACACCTTTGGTCAATGCAGATCACTTAAACATCATTGATCATTAAATGGTACTTTTGAGAATTCCAAATGGATGATATACTTGACAAAAAGCAAATGCAACTTATTGTGTGGAGGCTTTGGTTCTACCAATCCTCTAATGAGTTCCAAATGCAAGCTTCAAGATAGTCATCCAACTAACCACTAATTATTGACTTATTTTACCTTATGCTTTCATTCTTTTTTATGCTTTATGTACCATTTACTTTTAGCATTTAAATTTCATGCCATTTTCATCTTTGCTCATTTGAGCATTTACTTTCTTGCCATTTTTACTTTGCTCACTTGAGCTTTTCTTTTCCTTTCTTAAGATACTTAATAATCAACATAAACCCTAAAAAATATTTAGTGGTACTTGGACTATTTGGTTACTATCCTTGGCATTATGGAGCATGGGACTTTTCTTGGACTTGGAATTAGAAACCTTGGGCTATCTTGGAGACTTTGTGACCTTATCTGATTATTTTGTTTGGATTTCTTGAGGTTATCTGGAATTCACCCGTATACAGCCGTTACTCTGTCCAATTTTTGTGAAGACTTAATACACTTGAAGTTTGGTTCTCTCAAGAGGTCTAGTATTTTTGCTTACTTGGTTTCAATCCAAGGAATGGGAATTCTATCTTGGCTCATAATGTCAAGTATTGGCTTCTTGTTGGTTAGATGGTTCTTATCCCTAGCTTCTATTTTATGCTTTAGGATAGTCCCTTCTTCTCCTCCCATCTTCTTCAATTTCAAAAATCTTCTTCCTCCCTTTTTTTTTTGAAAAAAACTCTTCTTGTTTTTAAACTTGAACCACTTTTATAATAAACTTGGACTTATGTCCATGTATTTTCAAAACATTTTCATAAATAAACCCCAATCAACTTAATGATACCTTGATATTTTTTGTAAGAAGACTAAAAGTCAACCAATCTCATTTCAAACCATTTTGCCATTTTGGATTTTTATCTTTAAAATTTTATCAAAAAGATTAGACTCTTGTCAATCCTTGTAGTGATGCAAACAACTATACTTCTATGATATATAGTGAAGAGAGATATTTTCCACTTGGGTGTTGATTGAGGCATTGTTGATTTTAAAATCCAAGCCATATCCACCACTTTGAGATGATGCAAATTCTCCTTTCTCATGGTTGTGGGTAGTAGGTATGTTTTCCACACGGACAATGACGATGATGTTTTATCTCATAAAATTAACCAACGCATTTGTGTTTCAAATTTTTAAAAGAGGAACTATGTGTACCCTGATCCCCTATTGCACGAAAGGTGGTACGTAGGTACTAAAGGTTCGCAACCGCGGCGGGTGCAAAAATTATAAAATAAATACGCTTCTTTCCTCACCTCCACCATCCACTTTTTATATACAACAGTTTTTATAGCCAAAATATACAGATTTTACAAAGAGGCTCCTGCGGAGTACCGTAGATGTTTATGGTGCTAATACCTTCCCTTTGCATAACCAACCCTCTTACCTTGAATCTTTTCCCCTATTTTTAGGTTATTCACTCTTTTTCCATTCCTTTGGAAACAATAAAGCGCGGTAGCGATTCTTATTTTGATTTGTATAAAGTCTAGTCAATCCAATGGCTTAGTCTTAAATATTTCTACCGCTACAGCATCCTTGTAACCATACTATGTATTTCAACCTTGAAGTTGATTGTTCCTTGAGAGACTAGGGTATAATCAGAATTTCTAAAGAAGATATTTACGGTTAGTCTTTGTGGTTTATAAACATTGACAAGTAGTCGTTGTCTGTGTCTGTAATCAGATTGGTTATAGTGGATTAAGTCCTTGTTAAAAAACGAAAATCACCTTGGTGGGTGGACTGAATTAACTTTGTTAACAGTGAACCAAGATAAAAATAATTGTGTTCATTTATTTTTGTTCTTGTTTCATACTTGTTTGTTTGGGTAGCAAAAAGTTTTAAATCTGAAACCCAATTCAAACCCCATTTCTTGTGTTTCTCGTACCTTCAAAATAGATTGCTCAAGAAAACACACGTTCATACACCAAACACAAGCTAAATTAAAAAACAAAGAAACAGTTGCAAACAAATGCAAAGTCATTACAACAAAAAAGTCATAACAAGCCCACAAAAGAGCACTCCTGGCTCACAAGGGAAAAACAAAAAATACATCAAAATCCATTAAAGTAAACTAAACATCTTTATGAGGGGTTTGAGCCAAAGTTTCCTCAATCGAAACCTGTTCAGCAGTGTCTTTGTTCTGAGAAGGGGAAAATCCTCTACATTCTCCAACTCGGGGAAAGTTTCCAATTCCTCCTCTATCACGAGTTGTCTGTCCCAGACCACTTTAAAATAGCCTAGAGAATAAAAGTCAAGACCTAGGTGAAGGAAAAGAACTTGTATTTTGTCTTTATCAAATCCCAGATCCCTGACCAACAGACTATCCATCACCGCTGCCTCTAGTTTCCCGACCAGCTCTTCCGTTGACTTATCCTGCTCTGAGAGCTGACCCTTCAAGCCCGACAACTATTCACAAGAAATAACCAATTTCAAATACGCCACCTTCTTAGCCTCCTTAAGTTCTCTCATCTCCTTCTCCATGACAGTCATACGCTCATTGGCAGACGCCACCAGCGCATCCTTCAAATCTTGAGATTCCTGCACTTTTTGAACTTCATCTTCAACTCAACCTTGCTCTTTTCGGAGGAGTCAGAAACCTAGGATATAGCCCAACTTTGAGGAAGTCGTACATGAATTTCAGGTTGTCAGAAGAGGAATCCTAGAAGTTAAACGGGGAAAGAAGGGATGAAGAATCTCCGAACACAGTGCATGCATAAGACCTGCCTAAGAAACCCTCAAACTCGTCATCAGGGCTCATCTTTAACACTCTAAAAGCAGCTTCCCCATGATCAATTTTCTTTTTCTTCAAAGGAGGGGTCGAGAAGGAACCTCAGCAGAGATCGGCATACTCTGGGAAAACACTTCTCTAAACTTGGTTTTCTTCTTCTTCTAAGACCGAAAAATGATCCTAGAGGGATCACTCTTGGCGACACCATCACCCTTTCCACAGAGAGCTTTCGCCTTCGCCGACAACGACGTTCTCTCTTTGAGAATCAGGGTTGCTATTCTATCTGCAAAAATAAAAACAAGTTTTGCAAACAATAAAACCAACACACTAAAAACAAGTTCAAACAGAAACAAGACTCCCTTTACTTAAAAACCTCTGAAGGCTCACAGCGTCATCCACATAGTTTAAGAGATCACGAAGCATCATGACCTGGAAAACATCAACAATTTCCACCACATCTTTCTCAGTATCACTTAACTTACTGGGATCATAGCCTCTAATGGGAACAGGCTCTTGGGTCCAACAGATAGGGAAACGACATGATCCATCTTCATTATACAAAACCGCAGGGAAATTCTCGCCACCCGCACCCTCATAAACGTGTCCTTATAATTCTTAAAGTTAGAGGAATACACCTGGAATAGACCACGACCAAGGGTACCTGCCAGAGAAAACCATCTTCCACTCTCGGTGCCTTTAGATTCAAAAAAAGAAGAAAAAAGACACCCAAGGTGGGCGTCACACCGAGGGAACCATACAATAGCTCGAATGAGCGAACAAAGCCCCAATTGTTGGGTTGGAGCTGAAAAGGAGCAACATTTAGGTAGGTCAACACATCTGCCTCAAAGTCCATAAAAGGCACCCCGACCCAAAGGGTCTGCATCACGTCCTCATAAAAATAGAAATTTTTGTCAGTGGACCCAGGCGGACGGTATGTGAAAACTTTATCACCTGGGAAGCACGGTTCCAAGACAACATCATCTTCATTATCGGTGCTAGAAATGTAAATAAAATCCCTAAAGGATTTGATGTACTCATCACTCAAACATACAGAGTCAATCTTCAAGACAGTCAAATTAAAAGAGACGTGGGAGAGCTACATGATGACTTCAATCGAACCTGGGGAGGAATACACTGAGTTAGTGTCACTAGAGAACGAAAGGTCGACAAAATCACCATATACCTCCCTATTTATAAACCCCTAATCATTTTTACCGAATCTGGACCTAAATGTTCTAACGTACTCATCCCACAGTTGGCATCGCTCTAATGCATTCGCAGGAGCCACTAACTTACCCGTATTATCGCACTCACGAATGAACACCATAGTATAGCTAAAACAAACAAAATAGAAATCCAAAAAGAAAATGAGAAGTTTCGAAAGTTACATGGAAAAAGATGAAGTTTGTTCGTAGCAAAGATAGCAACTTAGAAGTAGTGGAAAAACCAGGAGTAACGCTTGGAAAAAATTAAGTGTTATGGAGAGATATAACTTAAAGGAAACGTTTTAGAAGCTACGATTATGTGAACATACCCTATTAAGTATGATTAATTGATGATACACGCTTCCCCTCAAAGAACCATCATTATTGCAAAAACGCTACACATCCCAATGAAAAAGCCATCATCATGACAAAAAAAACATTTCGAAGCACGGACATGTGCATCGCAACACCCTCATCAGACACGTGGCAGAAAGAGAAGCACCAGTATCTGTCACAATGTAGCATCCGGGTCGCACCCATAAGCCAATAGAGTCTAAACCTCCAAAATACTTAAGTGTCTCGCTCAGGCCTCACGCTTGGGGGACTTATGTATATCTGAGATGTTAATTCCGAACTAGAGCAGGAACCGCCAAAATACTTAAGTGTCTCACCCTTAACATACCTCGCGCTTGGGGGACTTATGTACATCCGAGATACTGATCCCGGACTAAGAGCTCGAACCACCAGAATGTTTAAACATCTCGCCCTTACCAGGCCTCACGCTTGAGGGACTTATGTACATTCGGGACGTATATCCTGGATTAGCTAGACACCCCGCTTCCTACTAAACCACCCTTAAAGAACGGGAAACGCCCTCATATAACATAATCAAGACCATTCATGATACCCACAAAATAAGAAAATCGAGGCAGTGAATAGCATGATTACAAAATATTTCTATATCGAGCTTAACACTATAAAAAGATAACCTGGAAAGGGTAAAAGGAAACAATCCCAAAGACACAAAATCTTAGACGTACTGCAGTTTCTCCCAATCAACTTCAGATAACTCATCACATTGTTTTTCAAGAACAAAATTAAAATGTGATTATAAAAAAAAGCATTGAAGAAATAGTAACTTAACATATTAAATTTGAATTGAAAAAAAACAATATATATTGCAAAAATTACAAACTAATGCAGTCACTTATGGTCACAAAAATTCAATTAAACAAAAGATATGTTTTTTATCTTTCCATTAAGTCATCTAAAACAAATACAAATGGAATTAAAAAGGAAATAAGGTGACATGCTTTCATCCTTATATTTGCAAGAAATCTTATTCTTCAGCTGTGGCACTTGCAGCACTCAGGTCAACAGAAAGATCAAGAACCTGAAAAAATAACTCCATATGATCAAGAAAAGTAAATCTAAACCTTAAGTGCTACATTACATTGTCTACCTTAGATATATTATTTTTCTGCTTATGGAAATTTGTGAAAATATTCTTAAAAGGAACAAAAACAAGAAAACTAAGGTTTTAATTAACGAAAAGGTTTTCGCAATTTTGGTCGATATAGATGTTACGATACTGATTGTAATTATCGTAGTGTAAATTAACACAATTTTATTTCATTATAAAATTGATGATCGGCATCTTTCAATATCATTTTGTCACGGTCGGTTTTACAGCCGTCTTTTAAAACCTTTGAAAAAGAAGGAAACTAGTTTTGAAATTTAGATACCTTTCCTGTGATCTTACTGTACATCTCAACCACATCTTTTACGGTGGTTTCAAAGTGTGTGGTAGCATCATAGCTCTACAAGAATTTAATTTAAGGTTAGTACAATTTTCAAAGATAAAAAATAAGGTAAGAAATTTCATTATACATTGGATGTAAATTACTTAATTAAAACCAAAAAAACATGTTTATCAGAGATTTTTCTTAGTACTTACGGTAGAGATGAAGCAACCATCAGTAGCATGATCGTTGGTGGGTTCATATCTGTCATAGATGTCATAGAAAATCTCATCTACTGGTCCAAGAAGATCAATTCCAGGCTTCAATTCAACCTGAGGTTGGTCAGTTTCTGCTTCTGTCGTAACAAAAGCAATATATTTTCCTTTTGGAGCAACATTGTGAGCATAGGAGCAGCAGAAAAGATACCTGCAATAATCACAGGTATCACAAACCGATTAGCTTCGAATTAATAATAAGAAATCACCTTAGAAGTTAGAAGTTCAAACCAAACTTACATGTCCGATTTACGACCAAGTTGCTTTTGTGGCAGAATGACTTGTGCTGAGTGAGAATCATTAGTGTCTGGAATAGGGTGGCTCATAATACAGATTGCACGCGCAACTTTTCCAACATTCTGAACCTGTTAGACCGATTATATGGTGTCAAGTAAAGATCAAAGTTAGTCATGTTTAGAAATCTAGCAGACTTACTTACCTTATCAGACAGATAAGATGGATCACACACAACTTTCTTGCATTTTGCTGTTTCTCCTTCTGAAGTCACGCCGATGGCTTTCCCAGCACTGTCAAACTCAACCTATGTACCAGAATACTAAAATGTGAGGTGAAATGCATAGAAAAGAGTCATCACAAACTTTTGGTAATTCAACTGATTTTCCTGAATATAGAAGTATCATCACAAACTTACCTTGCATTCTGGCTTGTTCAGCATGTAGGTTCCGCCATAAACAGCACTCAAACGCGCAAATGCCTTTCAGTAATCAAAGGTATAAATGTGAGTTTCGTAAGTATATTAAATGTAAAAGGGAAAATAGATATGGAAAACCTGAGGCAACTCTCCAAGTCCATATAGTGGATATATGTAAGGTGAACCTCCTTGAAAGCGCGCGAGTGATTCTGCATAAACCTATACAAAACAAACAGAATTACTTGCCTATAATTTAGCTGAGGAAACAACATAAGCCAAATGAGTATATGGCCATCATGAAGATAATTTGCAAATGAATACCTTAACTCTATCCACAAAATCCTTGGCTGGCTTATCCAAGTAATTGTCATCAAGATGAAGTGCCAAAGCATGACCAATAAAGTCAACTGTATCATCTTCCAATCCATATTTCCTGCATTCGGACAAATCATTAAGAATATAGAAAAGTAGACTGAATAAAAGTAATGAATGGTGTTTGAATAATTGACCGTTCTTGTAGATCATGTGGCTAGAAACATACGAAATCAGCTGTCTTGCTGTAACTTGGTTTAAATCAAGTCCTTCGTGAGATTTGGGATCATTCGCTTCATAATCTTGGACATAAATAAAGAACTTCCTAGCTCGGCGTTTCTCAAAGAGACCCATCAAAGGTGACTTCAGTGCTTCAACATCTGTTGCTGGGACTTTGTAAATCTGAAAATTAATAGACAAAGATATGCATGCTGCATTAAGATTTCATGTAACATAAAGCTGTTGTAACTTGGAAAAGTCACAATATTACACACCTTTCCCTTATTATACACAAAGCTTCCATCTACAGCTTTGAAATTCAAATACTTTGTAACATCTGTGTGGATGAGCACGCGAACCAAAGCTCCATTGGCCATCATAAACTACCACAAAAACAGATGAAAACTAGATGAATGAAAATGAAAAACATGCGAGAAATTCATCAGCATAAACAAAATTTATGCGGATCTACACAGGTCATGAAAAATAAGAGAGAATTACTTTCGGTATCATGTCAACATTGTATTCTCTGCTCGAGCCCAAACTCTCTGGTGGCTTATCATCTCCCCTATATCGCTTAAACAGCTGCGTAAGATTAAGAGAAGTTGAAGCTCCTCCATAGTAGTCATTTCGATCCATGTGCAAAACCTGAAGATGATCATGGAAATGAATGAAATATGATAACACAGTTACGTAAAGAGTGTGAGAGAGATGATTACTTTGAGGCCATCGACGGAGAGGAGGCCGCTGAGGATACATTCCTTGAGGCCGGTGCCGAGGACGATTACATCATACTCTTCATCCATGGTGGGTTGAGATTGAAAGAAGAATGAGGGAGAGAGATGGGAAGAGAAAGATAAAAGAGAATTTGAGGAGTGAGTGAGGAGAGGAATAAGGAAAGATTGAGAGAGATTTGAAGCTGAACACGTCTTTAGCGCCAAACTAACGAGACTAACGCTCCACTGTCCAAAATAACTCATCTCACACTGCTTTACACGTTTTTACTCTTTACTATATTATCTACCAAATATTATTATTACTAATCAAAAACCAAATTATTTTTAAAGATAGAACACATTTTTTTCTTATTACTTTTTCTTAAATATCTAAGTTCAAAGCACTTTTTGGTTTCATTAAAAAATAATATTTATTATATTTTTTATATAAATAAAATTTAAATCAAAATCAGAACATTTTTTCTAGTGTATTTATTTTAGAACATGTAATATAAATTATCAAAAATATTCTTTTGAAAGAGTTTTTATAAAAGACTCATTTCAAAAGTCATCAAAATTAAAAAAATTTAGAGAATTTTAAAATTATTCGAAAGTGGATTGAGAATTTCTTTTTTCATTTCATTTCCTTATAATATTATATTCAAATCTGTGAAAATATATCTGAGGTATTTTCCTTATCAATTACCTTTGAGCTTATATAGATGGAGGTTAAAATTGGTTAGTTCATACTGGCCGGTTTACCAAGTTTAAAAAATTATAGTGTTTGAGTCTTAAAATTATAGCACATATATTTTTAGGAATTACTTATTTTATTCTATGTCATTGAAAAAAATCCTATAAAAATTCTATTTTGCTTATGTGTTTTCTTGAAAGTGTATTTTTTGGACTTTTGTTAAACTTTAGTTAATTTCAGAGATACATTTACAAGAAGGAACTAAAAATGTATTTCCAGAATTCTGTGTGATATCTGAGATTTCTTAAATTAAAGTATGGTCTATAGTTAGGGTGTTTTCGGAAATATAACTACGGGTCCTTCCCGTAAATATATTTTCGATTAATTCTATGCTCTTTTATAGGGTCTTATCCATCAAATGTCTGACTATGACTATTTCCAAATATACATTTCCGATAACTAGGATATTTATATATTTTCGCAGGATGCGCTAGAAAAGTATAAAGTGTGTA